GTTGATTTCGTACAGTTTTGCCCTTTGTTGACAGCTAGCTGGTTAGCAGTCCTGCTTCCTGTATGGGTGGAGAAGGGTGGAATAGCTGCGAGCCAGAGCGCATGCGCACATGTCTTGTGATTGGTCACATGAAACACAACCAGGAAGTGAGATGCTGCGTTAAGTCAAATTCATACAGTAAGGCAATAATAATTTAACAGCTGCACAATAAGATGCGAGTATTAATATTGCTGTCACATTCGGTAAATTAAAGACTTTATTGCACCCGGAAAAATGAGTGTGAGAGCTTTGTGGATTATTTCGCACGAAAAGGGAGAACATTTGTCTTTACGCTTCGCAAGGTATGTATACAAGACTCTAATATCATGTCCTGTTTACAAATGTGTATATACCACAGCAGCCTTCTAATGTATTAAAGTCTCTGCTTATCGACTGGAGTGTTATGTAAAGTATTGTGTCTTCCCCCCACAGGAGGTTTGCTACTGTGGAGCACCGTGCAAAGATCCTGGCAGGTTCCTCATATACAGCAGTCCCAGAAGATAACACTGTGCTGCAGCTCCTGCTCACTGAGTTGGGACTCTCAGACCCAGACAAACCCTTTGTAGCTCTCAGAGATGATTGCCTTTATCGTCAGCGGTCACCAGCCCTGGAGCTGAGGGTGGACAGCCCTGGAAAGGGAATGCTTTGGCCAGTGTTGGCAATCTCCCACGGGCCAATTACCCTTGCTTGCCTGCCTTTAGTGGATGCTCCTGCTGAGCCACGGCCAGCCCTTGCAAGCCTGCTGTCTGTCTCTCAGGGCCTCACTCTCTTGGCAGGTCTGCAGACTTTTCTCCTAGGCTCTGGAAGTAAGCCTGATATCGAGGTGCTGGCCTCTCGCCTGGCGATGCTGCCCTCTGTACTCTTGCAGGTTTGTCCACTTGGCACACCCCTGGATGTGCCACTACCGGGGGCTCCTTCTACACCCACAGTGCCCACTCCTGCTGAGAACCAGAAGCAGCCAGCCTGGAAGACAGGGCTCCACCGCGGTCGAGCTGCGGTGAACGTAGCACTTATAGAAACCGTACGCTCCATGCAGTATGGTAACCGCAGCAGACAGGACTTGTGGGATGTTTACGGCACTGTGACATGCAAAGTAAGAGCACATTGTTAAGGAAAACAAGTCTAACTGTTTTTGCCTGTTTCCACTCTTTTCCTTCATTCTTCTTTTTTTGTCCTTCAACAGTGTGAAGTGGAAGGGGTGCTCCCAAATGTGATGGTGACCCTCACACTGCCACCAAATGGTTCTCCACTACAGGACATCCTGGTGCATCCTTGTGTCACTTCACTGGATTCCAGCATCCTTACTGCCAGCAGCGTGGATAACTTTGATGGCTCTGCTTTCTCCGGACCATATAAGTTCCCCTTCTCTCCTCCTCTGGAGCCTTTCAGACTATGCAGCTATACATCTCAGGTATGAAACATACATACTGACTTTCTTCTAATTCCAATACATTAACACTAATGTCCCAAGGGATATTGCAATTTTTCATTAGGTCCCCGTTCCCCCTATCCTGGGTTCTTATCAGCTGAAGGAAGAAGAAACCCAGCTGCGTGTGTCAGTAACCCTCAAACTTCACGAGAGTGTGAAGAACTCCTTTGAGTACTGTGAAGCACACCTGCCATTCTTTAACAGGTAAGAGATCATATTATTTTAGCACTGAGCACTTGCCAGTGTTTGTTTCCTGTAGATTGAAGAGGTTTAATGCCTCAGACTTCATGGCATCTTTGAGGTTAAGTTCGATGAGATGCAATTCTGTTAATAAGAATAATAAATGATATATAAAGATGTGGAATCATTTACATCTCTAATTCAAAGAAGGTATACAAAGATTTGTATTAACTACTGATACGTACATTTCTTGTCATTGGAAGCAAACTAAGGCTCTAAGGTTAATTCTATCTGGTAAGGAAATGCAATAATTAACAAGATAATTACTAATTGCATTAGTGATTACTTTAATATATAGATTGCTGGAAGCAATAAATACTGCTTTATGGTGTTTTACATTGGCCATTGTAATATGGAACAGAGCTATCCTGCATCTTTATTTAAACTGTATAGTTTTTTGCCAAAAACCATCACTGGTCTCATTAAAATGCAATAAATAAGTCCCCTGAGCTGATTTAATGAGTCCTCTTAACAGCCAACTAATGCCCCCAATAAACTAAGTAAACCTAATCTACATGTCTCAGCTCCATTATATGCAGCCATATTATAAAACACTCACAGAATTTGCAGATATATCCCAAAATTATTGCACTTAAAAATGACCCAACCAGAGAATCAGTTTTGTGTCAAATCTATTTTCATAAAATGCCTCTGTTGATTAAAGTGGTTTAACCTAACCACTTTAATCAGTGTGTCTACTCTACAGTAACATCTGCACATGGTCTTTGTATCCTGCGCAGGGATCAGTTCGGTGTTGTGGATGTGAAGGTGAGCTCCGGACAACTCGATGTGTCAAAAGAGAAAAACCTGCTGGTCTGGGGCTTGGGTAGGCATTGTGCTCATTAGTATCAATGGAAAACATATAACCTGAATGTAGCTGCATATTGAAAAAAGTAGCTAATGCAATGTTTCCCCTCCTCACTGATATTTAGGACAAAAGTTCCCTAAATCTCGCGAGGTAACAATGGAGGGTAAGATCAGCTTTTCTGGGCCGACACCAGGACCTACTGACCCCCTCTGCACAGAACTAACAGCCTATATCAAAGTGAGTTAATGTGTGTTGTGATACTCATGATCCAGTTTGTTTATTTACTGCAGCATGTTACAGCATTCTTTAAACAGCTGATTGGATAAGGTCAATTGGATAAGGCATCTATAATATAGACTCATTAGGTTGTAAAATGATTAACACCTCACCTGTTATCTTCACAGTTATATTTCAAAGTGCCTGACATGACACTCTCTGGGTGCTCGGTGGACCAGCATTCGGTGCAGGTGTATTCCTCTTCAAAACAACGTATTATAACATGTAAGCTAACAATGGTTTATTAAATAGAAAATGTGGCTGTATGTGCGTTTTCTGAAACTAAAATAAATGTCCATCTGTCTTATTTTCAGCACGAGAACTTCAATCCAAAGAGTACTTCATATGGAATTCAACAGGAAGTGCTCCGGTATCCTCTGGGCAGATGATGCTGTAGCATGGATACATGCTGCTCAATAACTGGACTGAAGACTGTCAAGCATACACTGTGATCCAGACCGGATATGTGACTGCATGAAATGTGTTACTACACTGTTGTTACTGAGGAGCTTACAAATGATAGACAATTTAAATAACATTTATAATACATTTACATATAAAAGACTGAATCATTTAGTTTTTATTCAGTGCTGTTCACAATGTGCAAACCTTGACTGGCAGAGGTATTGATTTTGTTTACGGATGATTGCTCTTGAAAAAAACGACCTGCCCCTCTAGTCCAACCTCTTTTATCCCCCAACCCTCCCCTCAAATTTATCCCATTGCAGACACAAGGGCCACCCCTCGCTCTGACAGTCCCACTTCAGTGACTCTCCATCAGCCGGATAATTAGCAGCTGGGGCCTTGTCATCAGCTGTTGTGGAGCTGGAGGGGGGGGGGGTGCGGCTGGGCTGTGAAAGGCCTGGCTGCTCCGGCCAGTGTCTTGGCTACAAAAGGTTCCTCTTTTAGAGCTGGCAGGAGTCCTTGCCCCTTTCACCAATCACTCCCCCAACCCTTTTGACCCCATCCCCGCCCTGTCAACTAGTGGCTAGTTCAAACACTCCACCTCTCTAACCAGACGGTGATTGAGCGCTGACCCTCGGGCCCTCTGAGACTTTAAAGCAGCCGGTCCCTTTCAGTGAGCAGGAGCTGCCTAATTGGTGAAAAGGTCACAAGGATGGAAGTGGTTGGTACGCCTCTTGAAGTTACACAGGTGCTTTAACTTAATCCGTATAAAAACGATAGTTATAATTTCAACATTTGTTGTTGTAAAACGAATAACAGTGTAGATAACACTTTATAATCAATTCATACTAAATATATATAAGATGGGCATACCAGATGTTTCTCACACTTTACATTTATTTGATCTGAACTATAATGGGTTTTATATGAACTCATACATACTAGGAAAGCTCAACTTCAGTGTATTTAGTTAAATGGATAACCAGCCGATGAAGGGTTAAATCAAAGGAGATTGTGCCCCCACTATTCCTCAGTAGCCAGACTCCTCTGAGTGCCCTCATTGTCTGCTGTTGGCCTCTTGTGCCCCTTGCTGGTCCAAATGCTACATTCTCACGTGGATTTCCACTCAGAAGGCTGACCATGACCAATCCTCTGTCAATTGGAACCAATTGCTCACACGGCATCTTTCACCTTCTTTTTATGTAGCAGTACGGAGTGGCAGACACCGAGACCTCTCGGCTCTCCCCCTCCACGATGATTTGGCTTTAAGGCCCAGTGTGTGTGGCTAGCGAACTGGAAAAGGAGAAGTTTTTTGAAGAGTTGGGCCACTCTAAATCTCCTCAGTATCCCAATATGTGGTCAGTCTGGCTCCTCATGTCTGCAGTCAGTGGCCTCTCACTGGCAGACTTTGCTTTGTTGATTGAACGGCTTGCTAAGTAGAAGGTCTCATTTTGTATGTGTTGCTCTGCTCCAGTGTCTTACGCTTACGCTCATACCTCTTGCTCTTTCATTCTACAGTGGTTTTCAGAACAATACATTATTTATTTCCTAATCGTTTACTATTTTCTTCAAGCATACAAGAAACATTTTTGTACAATGTTCTCACAGGCCAAAATGCATTTGTGAAATTAAAGCAGCAGTTTCGATCGTAATTAATCATTTTGAGGCTTGCATAGCCTTCATTTCTCAAGTGATCTTTTATACCTAAAGGTGTACAAAACATTAAATACACTATTACAAACACTGAAGCTGTTATCCTGTGTACTTCACTGTGTCCCTCAGCCCAATAATGACACCCAGTGGTTGAGTAATAAAGGTAATGTAAGCCTTTGATTTCTTTAATACAGTTAAATGCTTATTTCATCTATTCAAATAGTTCTAGTCAGCCACCACCAGATAATCTTAGCCTGTTTAATTCCCGTCCAGCCCCCTGCTGAGCACTGTGATCCCAGCAGTGTTCCTCTAACGCACTGTGCCTGAGGAACAGGATTTAGTCGGCCGCTGCGGCCAGGTGTTTGGTGGGAGTCCAGCTCCTCTCCACCTCTCTAAACCCGCTAAGAGCCGGCCTCAGGGAGACCACTTGAAGAATGATGGTCCAATTAGCAGTTTACTGTTTTCATTATAATTATTGTTCAAGAGCTGCAGATCTGTTTAAATAATGGGATATCTTTGTACAAATATGTTGTGCTAATTTCTATAACAAAAGCCCAGTAGAAAAGAAGCTTCAAAGCTGGCTGATTTGAATCCCAACTCTTTGAACTTAATGTAAAATGTTTGCTATCAACATGGTAGGTAAAATGAGCCTGACTGTAAGTGTTCTCACTGCTTTCACCCATAGAGGGCATCATAAACTCAGCCATGAAGGAAGTATCCCCAGAACATCAAGAGTTTTCTTTATATTGCAAGGTGTTTATGGCTTATTGTACCAGATCCCTCTTGCACCTCTTGTCCTTGCTGTCTGACAGCTTCTGGCAGATTCAGACCACATAACCATCCCTCTGGGTGGTGTCCCTGTCTTCTATTCCCACTATTTCCCTTTCGTTTGTCCATAATATGTTTTTGTCTATATATGGGCATCTCTGTCCAGTGTGTTCATTCTTTTCCTCTGTTTCTGGGACCTCTCTCTCCCTGGATCCCATCTTCTTTGTTCGGCTGGTTTCGCTGTCTCCCTTCACAAAGGTGACGTAGAAAGGTTGGGTCTAGAAGGCAGTTGGGATCCAGCCTTTCTCCTGTGGTCTCGTCCCAGAAGATGTCCCTCTCTGTGGGACTCCTCACCAGTTTCAGCCTCTGGATGCCCTCTGTATTTGGACCTTCAACTTGAGGGCCCAATGACATCATATTTAGACCACATTCAGATATTTTGTATCAAGCTTCCTTGTTAGAATAACAATTTGCAATCTTACCGTTAACTGAGTAGACGACCTTATGTCTTCTCTGCTCTCTGGCCTGTCGGTGGTGAGCTCGCCGCTGCCGATGAGCCTGTTGGGTGAGAGCTGTTTGGGCCTCCAGAAATCCTCCCTAGAAAATCCCAGAGCCACAAGAGGACATTGGTGTGAAAGTACTTATTTATATTCTACTCTTTACTCCAGTATGTGTCTTTGACAGGTATAATTAAATGTTTTCAGATTTATCTTGAGTAACCGGTTAGATTAATGTTTGATTGATTTTGACATAATAATAATACAATAAATAATAATACATTTATTTTGGCAGCACAAGCTGAGTGCTATAGTCCTGTAATATTGGACAGAAGGTAAACATCTACACGGCCAATTTATCCAACACTCAGCAATTTAGACAAAAACAATCTAGATTGATGAATAGCACTGCAGTATTTAAGAAAAATATGAATTTTTTTATTTAGTGGTAACAGTCCCTTAAAGTAAAGGGTCTGGCATTACTTATTCAACCACTACAACAAAGATATATTACAATATATTTATATATGTAATTACGATGTATGTCATCGTGTTAATATATTCCCTTTGGACAGACATGGACTTGAAGTAAACTACTTTTTTTGTGTGTGCAATATTGGCAGTTATAGAGGGGGCTTCTCTGTTCCCTGTACCCTGAAAATAGATCCCATTGAGGGCCAGTCATGCCTGTAGACCACCCTACTTTCCAATCCGTAGATACTTTAATCAGATCCACTGGGACTGGAAGAGCCCTTACTCACAGCTGTTTCCGTCTCTTCTTCGCTCTTTATTCCCCCCCTCATTGTAAGCACTGCTGCACACTTTAATTTTGCCTCAATTTAAAAAAAGCATGAACTGAATTATTGATGATACAGATGCACTTGAACTCTTCCCTACTTTGTCAAGCTGCTTTACCTGAATCATTCTGCTGGTGCCACAGCTTCCTGTCTGGCCGATTGTAGAAGACAGGGGGACACCCCCATCTCTGCAATCCCTGCCCTGCAACAAACAGAAACATTTCTCATTGTGTCGTGAGATATCATGGGAGCAGTGACGCTGGCACAGCAACCATATGTTTCTTTTCTTTTTTATTACCATGGCAATTTGAGTGGCAATGCTTGTGTGCCCAATTTGCAGGGCCAGTGGTTGGAGTGTCTGAGGAGGAAATAATAATGATGGCATGTCTGGGTAAAAATCTGAAGTCAGAAACAATAATACAAAATGATGTCTGCCCGAGTCTTGCCGGGGTTTGAATAGATGAAGAACTTCTCATATAAATCAGGCAACAATAATAGCCTTTTATAGTTAATAACATATATTAACCTGCATTCTTCGGGGTGGATGTGAGTGAATGATGCTTGAATTGTTACTTTGCTTTGATGGGATGTTTCCTGCAAAGCATGGTTGTTACAACACACACATGCAGACAATCAGTATCACAACACATAGTGGACTGTACAAATACAACTGAATGGGAATGAAACACCAGGGACATGAGACTTACTAACCTGAGAGTGTGGAAAGAGTTATTTCCTGTCTCAGTGGAGGTAAGGTTTTCTTTTTCTGTGCCAGAGATCCTGATGGCTGCTCCACACTGACGGGCAGAGCGGGGACGGTCCATTGTGGTTCAGGCTGTGCCCCCTCCTGCAGGCTATTACACGGAGCCACTTTAAACAGCTTGGGTCTGGAGCCTGTAGAGCCCATTGACTTGCCCCTTGTCCTAATGCTGTCAAGCCAAGATACTAAATTCTACTCTAGCACAAGAAAGTTCAAAGTTAGTTTATCTTTCTTCAGGTTTAGTTTAGTCTTTACTAATACTAATCTCACCTTTTTAAAGTCTTCTCGTCAGAAATGCAGGTTCTGTAACTGTAGGTCCACCGTTTTTGTTGAATTTTTCCAAACTTGTTAATTCCCTAAGAATTGTTTGGCTCTTCTTTTAAAGACATCAATAACAGAATAACTTAATGTATAACATTAAAACAAGCCTGGTGGTCCTCACATCTCCCCTGCTGGCAAAATGATTGTTTGTCCCGACGCATCTCTGTCAAAGTAAAACCGCAAAAAACACTTTTGGTAGTGCTTAAAGGAGTAGGTGTGTACTTCAGCGCTGCCTTCATACTTGACTTCATTATAATGAGCTAGGTTTCTATGGCAACTCTCCCTACAGGTTACTTTGTAACTCATAAGTTAATGCTTGAAAGAACCTGTTATTTCCATATTGGAAAGCCCGAAGGGGTAAGGAGAGACGGCAAATCTCTGGGAAATTGTTAACTGACTAAAAAATGTGACTTCATGAGTAAACAGAAGAACACATGGGATGGACAAACTGTGTTACCAAGGTTTGTCCTTTTCGGCTGCATGTCAGATAAGACAGTAGTTTTATCAGCGCTTTATGTAGACTATTTCATATAACTTTTGGCTTTAAAGCAAGCCTTGAGATTATGTAGTAATTATTTTCCAAACGGGTTCCCTTTATGTATTACATTTTAGACCATCTTTATCACTTAAATTATTTAACTTTGTCTTCTATTGCAGCATCTACAGTTTGGATAGAGTGTTTTGGCCTTGTTTGGAGCACTATTGGTTGTCTTATATTACTTTTCAGTGCTGAGTGCTTGCCTTTTTTAGAAAATGATACAGTTTGGCAATAAACTTGTTATATGACACGACCTTGTCGAGTTTTGTAATTCTTTGTAATTCATGCTTTTCACACTTTCCTCATGTTCTGTCTGCCCCATATTTATCTACAAATATTTCAACAAGTCCTCCAACTCATACGACCAAATATGTTGTTTGTTCAAGCGCTTAATACGTCCTATAATTACGTTTGAAAGTTTTCGCCCTCTAGTGCTCCCGTTGAATGCAAACGTTACAGATGGTCGTTTATTCACAAATAACCCTCTCTGTAAAATCCTAAATTGTAGGATAGTTTGGCCATTAAAACGCTTTTTGATTAGATTTCTAGCGAGAAGTGTATATTGTACTTTTAGAATCCACGTCCAGTCGATATGTAGGATCTATAGTTTCATATATATTACGAAGATGATTTGAGGTATGCGGCAGCCTCCATGTAAAGTTACGGATTGAAAACAGTATTTCCGGTCCCGACGTTTTCATAATAAAACCAATGATCAAATGATTTAACAGTGACATCTGCAGTACTCATCAACTAAAAAACATCAGTTCATTCTTGTTAATTATACGACATTTATTGGTTTAATTTATGTACTATTCTTTCACACACAGTGACGTCACGAGCTACCCACAATGCAACACGCGCCATATATATATATATATATATAAATACGCCATTTTCATGGAGGTGCAAATATCCTGGAAGTGCAAATATAAACAGCTAGCTAACGTAGCAAGGCAGAGCGCACTAGTTTTTTTTTCTAAATTAACGACCGAAGAAATCGCTGCATGTCTTTGGATTACATCTCTGGACTTGAGGGGTGTGCTCTAGGTCGTGCATCTACGTCTAATTTCTGGAAACACCAGGTGAATACCCCACTTGTCACAATAATATTATCATGCCATTGCATATATGTGGTATTTTAGAGTTGACTAGATATTGATTAAGGCAATAGACTATGATATTCAGTACAGGAAGCTTAGCAACACCTAGACGGTGTACGGCTAAACCCTTGGCCTGCTTGCACCTCGAGTAAAACGGCGGATACCGGAAGTACGGTGTCGCCCTCGGCCCAATACCCGTATGTGTGTGTGAAAGAATGCTTTAGTTTTTCCCATAGGATTTTCTCTTTCGATTCTGAGAGACACCTTTCTTTTTTCAGAGGTTTTGATAGGCATGTCGGGATATGGTGTTTATCCGATATGAAATCGGAAAAACATTTTTTTTTAAATAAAATACTTTATTCCGAGTGTTCTTGCTTTTCTCTTTGGAAGTCATCACATAACGGCATTGTAATACACGGTTCGGCTGCATTAAATATTACATATCTGCCGTAGATATGTATTTATAGAGCCCTGATCAGAAGACCTTTTGACAAACTGTAAGAAATGTCGCCAAAACTGAATACGTGACGTGGATCATAAATATATTAGCAATTAAACATCTTCCATTTATTTTCACACAATACGGCTCCTTACAGTATCAACACTAATTCGGCTGACTTTTATATTTGATCCAATTGGTATATAGGTTATATTAACACCATAATGGTGCACAGCTGATAGAAAGGGATTTTTTTGTAGTTTTTAAAGATATTTAGTTGACTGTTACAGGTTCATGGTACAATGCATAAGCTTCAAATCGAGAGACTGAAACTGTATTTTCCTTTACCGTTCTGTTTTAATTTCACAATAAAGTTAAGTCATGTTTGATATGTTTTATTAACTACACCACTGGTTTTTTAACCCGCGCCGCCTAGTGGTTAAAGCACGTTATTTAATTTTGTTGTTGAATACGTTTTATTTGATGAAAACATTTAAATATTAAGAGTAGCCTACATACAAAATTGAAAATATCAAGAAGATACTGTAGTGATCTCTAGTCTACAATAAAACAGTTTAGTGCAGGACGTCCAAAGATATTAACAGGAAGATGTGCAAAACAGACAAACTAATAAGGCTTTATTTAAACTTTAAAGATTACTTTAAGTTAAGGTCTTCTTTTGAATAAGAAAAACACATTGGGGTTATCCACAGATAAATATGAAGTCTGACAAAGTACTTAACGTCCAATATATTTCATAGTTTATTTTGGCACTTGACTATCACCTTCCCTGAATTTGACTCAGGTGTAACTAAAGTCTGATTTAAGGTTGTTTATATTTCACATCATTAATCAGAATCTGCAAAGTAACTAAAATACATGTAGTGGAGTAAAAATACCAGGTTAATCTCTGAATTGTAGTTGAGTAGAACAAAGTAGTACATGCTGCTGTAACAAAAACATTTCCCAACGTGGGATCAATAAAGTATATCTTATCTTAAGATCATCGATGGCTACTGCCATATTTGCAAAATGTGCCTCTGAACCTTGACAAGTGCATGTTTCAGGCTTATCAATGAACAACAGGAGGGGTCACAGACATAAGTCCAGCTGTTAAATAAAGCTCTTCTGACCTTAGGTGTCATGTGGGTATATTAATTCACACATTTATTAATTTGATAACACCACTGTTTCGTATCCCCTAAACCTCCAGGGTGTACAGTTTAATACTGGCAACTTCTAATTGTGGGAAATACGAGAACGTCTTATAAAAGAGACGTGCCATATAATGTTGCGGGAGGAAGGAGCCGTGGACAGGGGAGAGGCCAGACGGGGCGCCGCCCGAAGCTGCCGTCGAGGCGAACCGTGAGCCGTCCGAAACCGCCGAGAGGGAAGAGGCCAGACAGGGTCCCGAAGCGCGCCACCCACGGGCCGGCGACGTCCGAAACCGTCGAGGCGAGGGAAGAGGCCAGACAGGGTCCCGAAGCGCGCCACCCGCGGGCCGATGAAGGCATGGGCGACGTCCGAAACCGTAGAGTCGAGGCGAGACGGGGTCCAGAAGCGCGCCACCCAGGCGCCGATGAAAGCGTGGGCGACGTCGAGGTGGTGAAAAAGCGAGAGGGTCCACACGAGGCCGACCAGACATGATCGAACCTCCTCTCCGGCACCACAAAAAAAAATTGTCAACAGTCAGATGTCAACCGATGGATGTCAATAGCCGTTAGCAGCTGGGTCATTTTTTTTATGCGGTGCCTTTGGTGTCCCCAGTACAAAATATGTTGTTTTTTTGTCTAAATCTGGACAAATACTAATTACATTTTGTTTTTAATGTGTGTTCAATTGTTAATTTATTATTAATACAATGATATGCACATCTAAGTTTTTTTTTTCATTTTAAAAGCATTGGTTAAAGGGATATCGAGGAGTTTTTCCATGTCCCCACTGCTGGTCATTCAACTTAGATCTAAAATATAGCTATTAAAAACAAAATTAATTTATAAATATGTTATTATTATTTTATTTAACTTGTCAAAATCTATCTAATCAAATAATGTTTTTATTCAAATTGTAAAAAAAATAAATAAAAAAATAAGGTTTAATGTTTGTCCCCGAGGGTCGCTGTCCACCCTGTTGAGCTGTGTATCTGTCCCTTTAAGAAAAATACATATTTCTCAGTGACATCACACCTATGAAATTAAATGACACCAGAGGCGGGAAATTCAACTGAGGTAAGCTGTGTGGGTTTCTACTGCTCTTACAACTGATTTGGATGTTTCTGTCAATTTTGTTTGATGTGTTTGAACATAACATGTCCAACCTGTTAGGCCTAAGTATGAAGGATATTAATCGAATTCTATTATTTAAAAAAGTTCCTTTAAAAAGTGATTGATTCCTCATAAAGTATCCAAGGTCATGCTAGCAAATATGCTAACACAGGCAGGGTAAAGGCTAACTTTTGCTCAAAATGTCCACCCTGTTAGTGTCCACCCTGTTAGGCTTATTCAACTAACAGGGTGGACAACATCCTAACAGGGTGGACATGTAAGTATTGTTTACTTATTACAACATTTGTTAATATTATATTAATATTATATTATTTATTATTATATTACTATTATAACATTATAATAATGTTTTTATAATATAATAAATGATCACCACCATTAGATCTATAGGCACAACACAAACTGCTGCAAAAAATCCTAGGGAAACACTGATGGGTATATTATCTAGTATATTATGTACACAAGGATTATAGGTATAGTACTTAAAGTAATGGCATGCATTTGTATAGGAATGGCACCCCCGATAAGTGCAGCTGAATCACAGCGGTACTACAGAGCACGCCGTGATGCTGACCCAGAGAGAAGACAGCAATACCTTGAAAAAGAGAGAGAGAAATGGAGGAGGGACAGAGAGAAAGGCATAAAGATGGGTATTAATGAGGTCTGTGAGAGGGAGAAAAGGGCAAAAAGGAAGAAATGGAGGGAGGCAAAGAAAGCCGCGAGGGCCAACGTTTCCAGAGCCAGGGATTCCCTCAGCACTCCCCCTGCAACTCCCGAGAGTCAGTCAGAACCAGAACCAGGGCCTTCAAGGTTAGTGCAAGTTTATAGGAAATGTACTCGGCATATGGAACACAATACACAGTTTTTAACACTTTTTGAGCTGTTTATAAGGACTTATTATGTTTGCTTTCGCTGTGTGTGTGTTTGTGTTTAGGCAGCGCCTTCAAGGGGAAAAGAGGGCAAGAAATGGAAGGAGAAGACTCCAACAGGAGCTAGCCTTTTTAAAGGCCAAGTTGGATAGAGAGATAAGAAAGAAAGAAAAGTATAAAAAAAGATTTTTACGGTGTAAGAAAAGCTCCTCATCCCCACGTGCATTGGTGAATAGGATGCTACATGATCAGAGGGTTTCTCCACATGTTCGTAAGAGCCTTATTTTTCAGTCTGCCCTAGTTGCGGACATAGCTCAAACATACAAAGCCTCAAGAAGAGAAAGGGTGAAGCAAACAATAGCCAAAGTGGCATGTGGTAGGCTATTAAAAAAGTACAGACTGCAGTCATTTGCATTCAGGGCTCTTGGATTCTCCAAGAAGAGGGGGATGTTGGACAGGGATGCAGACCGTAATACTTTTCAGAGGAAGAAGAGTTCAAGGAGTCTAGAAAGTAAAGCCAGTATCCATACCTTCTTTCTTCGTGATGACGTGAGTCGTATGACAACTGGGCGCAAGCAGACCATCACAGTGAGGAAGAAGAAGATGCAGAAGCGACTGCTTTCTGACACACTCAAGAACCTTCACAGGAAATTTGGATCCGAAAACTCAGACAACGTGTCATACTGTCTTTTTTGTGCATGTCGGCCATTTTGGGTCGTGGCCCCTACTGATGCTGATCGGGCCACGTGCCAGTGTAAAACCCAT